ATGAAAATATTATTTAAGAAATCCACGCCTATAGACTTGATGGTCCTACGAAAATATTTTTTTAAAAATCCACGCCTATAGCCTTGATGGTCCTACAAAAATATTCTTTAAGAAATCCACGCCTATAGCCTTGATGGTCCTACGAAAATATTCTTTGAGAAATCCACGCCTATAGACTTGATGGTCCTACGAAAATATTCTTTAAGAAATCCACGCCTGTAGCCTTGATGGTCCTACGAAAATATTCTTTGAGAAATCCACGCCTATAGCCTTGATGGTCCTACAAAAATATTCTTTAAGAAATCCACGCCTATAGCCTTGATGGTCCTACGAAAATATTCTTTAAGAAATCCATGCCTACAGCCTTGATGGTCCTATGAAAATATTATTTAAGAAATCCACGCCTATAGCCTTGATGGTCCTACGAAAATATTCTTTAAGAAATCTATGCCTACAGCCTTGATGGTCCTATGAAAATATTATTTAAGAAATCCACGCCTATAGACTTGATGGTCCTACGAAAATATTTTTTTAAAAATCCACGCCTATAGCCTTGATGGTCCTACAAAAATATTCTTTAAGAAATCCACGCCTATAGCCTTGATGGTCCTACGAAAATATTCTTTGAGAAATCCACGCCTATAGACTTGATGGTCCTACGAAAATATTTTTTAAAAATCCACGCCTATAGCCTTGATGGTCCTACGAAAATATTCTTTAAGAAATCCACGCCTATAGCCTTGATGGTCCTATGAAAATATTATTTAAGAAATCCACGCCTATAGCCTTGATGGTCATACGAAAATATTCTTTAAGAAATCCACGCCTATAGCCTTGATGGTCCTACGAAAATATTCTTTAGAAAATCCACGCCTATAGCCTTGATGGTCCTACGAAAATATTCTTTAAGAAATCCACGCCTGTAGCCTTGATGGTCCTACGAAAATATTCTTTAAGAAATCCACGCATGTAGCCTTGATGGTCCTACGAAAATATTCTTTAAGAAATCCATGCCTACAGCCTTGATGGTGGGTTGAAAAATATTCTTTAAAAAATCTTCGCCTATTGCATTGTTGGCCCTTGAAAATATTACTGTTCCACTCTGTATAAAATAACCATTAATCTGTCATCATTCACGTCAGGTCCATGTTTTTCAAATTTAAAACATCTTCAGTTTTGTATATCAAATTTTCTTTTCCACATTTATTTAAACATTTTCTTAATACATTTTCATTATGTACATTTTAAATTAAATTATGTTTTTCTATGCCACTAAGAAATTTTTCAAACTTTATTTTTAAGTGTGTGTGAGTATGCGTGTGTGCGACATAAAATGTGCAAAATTATGAACAAAAAAACACTTAGGAGTTTCTGTACGTAATATAATGGAAAATTCCGAAAAAACTCTCACACAAAATTAAAAAAAAACTTTAACAAAAAACACCATAACAATGTTTCAATTTTTTCGGAACTTATGCTTATATATATATTTAATTTTTGTTGTTTTTTTTTGTGTTACAGTTATTGCCATGTTCGTCGTGTTCTTTACAAGTGAAATAGTTCAAAACTATTACCTTTATTATTATTTCTTTTTATTTTTTGGTTAATAGAGAAGTCGAATGGGGAGATATATATACCATAACTATATATTTCTGGCATAGACCTGGTGTCATCTAAGTTTTGTAAAGATTGACAATTTTTGTATAATGATACTCAGTAAGTTCTGACGTATCAATGTGTTGTGCTACTTAGAATTAGTAAAAAATCAAGGTGGCAAAAAATGCAATCAACTCCTCATCACTGGGCCCCATGATAATGTTAACTCTCATACATCAGCTCAAATCCAAGTGTTTTTAGCGATGACCCAGCCCAGACCTTTTTTTCCTGCATATCAGTCTGAAGTGTTCGGAGGACTTCGAAAAAAAAGATGAAAAAATGAATTCTAACTTGGCATCATGCGAGCTCTCACACATCTGCTCAAACCTGCTCTTTTTTAACTGGCCAAAATGTGGAAGCAATGGGTCACCAGTCTTACAGCCCTGATTTGGTACCCTTTGACACCTTTTTATTCCCGCAAAACAGTCTGACGTCTTCGTAGAAATTCGAAATACGAATAAGAAAAAGCAAATCATTGTGCACCATGACAAGGCAAGATTTGAAACATCGGCTCAAACCCGATCATTTTTGCAGAGGTCAAAACATGGAATTGGTACACCGGATGACCCATGCATCCCTGATTTAACAGGGCCGTATGCTTTTCTTATACCCGCATATCAGTCTGAAGTCTTGAAAAAACAAACAAGAGATAATGAATCACTGGGTACCATGGCAATGCGATCTTTCACACTCCGACTCAAACCAACTTCAAACGTGACGAGCCAAAATGTGAAAATGAGATGTTATTAGTCATAATCCGTGACCTGACTCCCTATGACCACTTTTTATTCCCGCACACCAGCCTGAAATCTTCGGACATTATTCGAATATCGAACAAGAGAAGGGGATTCATTGTGCATTGTGTCGAGTTCAACATCAACGATTTTCTGTGGCCAAAAAGTGAAGTTGTTGGGTCGGATGTCCCGTACAGCCCTGACTCACCCTAAGACTTCATTTTATTCCCGCACATCTGTCTGAAGTCTTTGAAAAAAAATTAAAAAGACTAATAAAAAAGGAATCACTGGAGAAAATGAAACAATGGGAACTCCCATACATCAAACCAGCGCCAAAAATGGCCGACCGAAATGTGGAATTGGTACACCAGATCCAATAAGAGATGACGGAATGGACTGTGTACCACCTAACCAAGATGAGGCCAGTATAGCAACCAATCGACTGTAGAATAATAAAGCGGTACAAAAAGGAGAGAAGACGATATGTGCCAACTATAGAAGAATAAGTCTCCTTCCCTTCCATGAAGCCAATGACCAATGCCATTATTGGCAATATCAAGGCTGCTTCAGGCGCAAAATCCTGGAAAAGACCCACGAAAACACATCGACACATTTCACCTATTCGTCGACTGTAAAAGCGTATTTGACAGCCCATATCCGTTCAGAGGTGTTTAAAACCATATCTGTGTTCGGCGTTCCTGCAGGATTACTTTAACTAACACAAGGACAGCAGTTATAGTCGGAAATAACCTCTCGGATCCCTTCAATATATTACGAGGATACAGACAAGGTAACAGATTGTCGTGTAACCTTTTTAACATCCTGATAGAAATGCAAAGGCGAACAGAAATGGCACTCTGAACACCAAACAACACATGTTACTTGCATACGCCAATTATATCGACATAACGGGTCGAACATTGAGAGCGGTAATAGTCGCTTTTTAACAAATTGAAAAGGAGTCTGGCAGTAAATTATGAGAAGGCCAAGCTGATGGTATCAGCGGGCAAAACGTCCAGTGAACTCGGACCAAGTATGGAACTTGAAAAATGCAGCTTCGAGGTAGTCTCGGTACCTCCATAAATAAAACCAATGACATCAGTTTTGAAATTCGGAAAATGATAGTGTTGGCCAACAGGTGCTACTATGGTCTTAGTAAGCAATTCAAAAGCATGCCACCTTTCGCTAGACCAAACTCAAACTCTACAAGACGCTGATACTACCCGCTAGGGTATGGATCTAAAGCATGGGTACCTGCGCAGGCAGATAAGGCAACTCTTGGAGTGTTTGAGCGAAAAATTATCCGAATGATCGCCTCGAAGGAATGAACATGTGGATGAAAACATTTCGAAACATGGTCTTTAAAATTGAAAGAGCTGCGCACAAGACCGACGTGCCTGGAAATCTTGTTTAAGCTTGACTTATGGAACAAATCATCTGTCACAAGCCAGCTACGTACTTATGTGTGGAGTGGACCGAAATGTGATCTGCTATAGGGTCCACCTGGACCTGTCTAAATCGACATATAATTTCATTCTGAGCAATAATATAATCTGAGGGATATCCGGTGAGATCTGCTTGCCCATTATGAGTCCAGAAATATATATGTGGAATGGTCCTGTAATTTTAGACGACCTTTTATTGTTTATCAAGTCCTTTATCTTTTGAGGACCTATACAAGGTCCTCTAACTGTAGGGGGGCTTTGAAAGGTCCGCTTTCTCTGGAGGGCATAAAGAAGGACCTCTGTCTGTAGAGGTCCTCAAAATGTAGAAAAACCTTTGACTGTTATTTACGAATATAGATACTTTAGATGTTCTTCAATAAATATCAAAACTTCTATAGGTGGTCTACAGATAAAATATGGTCTGTATACAGAGAACCTTTAGAAGATCCTCTAAATAGGTGGACCTATATAGAAATCCTCAATCCTCGGATAGAATAAAGAAGATACGTTACTAAGGAGAGAACCCGTAAAAGATATTCTATATTTAGAGGGCCTATAAAAGACCCCCAAGGACCCATAAAAGGTGTTCTTTTCCTAGATGACCTATAAAAAACATTTAGATGAACCCAGAGGACTTTTTTTAGATGAAGTATAGAAGCTCATCTGAGAAGTTTTTCATATATTTTAGAGGGAATTATTTTTTTTTTAATTTTTCAAAATTTCTCCATTCGACATCTCTATATTTTCTAGTTGATATTATAGTGCAATATCTGTCAGTTGGTATGTCTGCCCGTCGTTTTGGATTTTTTGCAACATTTTAACATCTTTCTACGGGGAAAGTTGATAAAAGTTTCCTTTACAATTGGCTTAAGATGTAACAGGAGAGATGAACAGCGGGGAAAATACATACATAGGGACTTAAACATTTAAACATAATTAAAATGGCCATTCTGCACCATTCTGATGCAGACTATGGCATACGACACTCTACAAATAATGATGTGACAGTCTTAATAACAACAAAAAACAAATAATTAACTTATTCTATTAAAAAATTAAACACGGCAAAATGTATGCAGAGGTCCAGCTTCGGCTTTCACAACTGCAGGGAGCTATCGTTATGGTTGTTGCTGCTGTTGTTGTTGTTATGTGTGTAACACCATCGCTAGTCCGATGTACAACCTGGTGTCCCGTAAAGTAAATTATTCAATTTTAATTTTCTCGTTGTGCCCGCCTGGGCGCCATGACCTGGCCGACCCCAAAACGTATCAAAGGTCATAAAGTGTTGATTGGCCAATTCCCGGTCATACTGGCGAGCCAAACTGATTGAACGCCGTTTCATGGCTACCTGGGTGTTGAGGTCATGCTGATACAATAGATTCGATGAAACTCCAATACCGTCCGAGGTATGGAGTCTAATGTTTGGTGGTGGCAACGAGGACGACCAGCAATTTGTTGCAGTTGTAGTCGGGTGTTGAGTCAGTTTTATTGGCAGCCGTTGAAATGATGGCCAGTAATTTGAGATGACGGCAGTTGTTGGTTTTGTTTGGTGATTTGTTGTAGTTGTTGTTTTTGTTGTTGATTGAATTGCAATGTTTTATTCAGAATCAGTGATGTCGGAGATGTATGAATGGATTGGTAGATTGGGTGGGTGGATGAATGTTGCGGGTAAATTGAAATAAATGTTAGTTTCTGGTTTTAGTAGTTGAGTAGATTAATTGTTTCTTTTTTTTTTGGTTTTTAGTTCTAAGCATTATTACAATTCCTAGTAATTAATTTGCTAACCTAAATTCTTGAAATTATTTCAGAGTAATGATGTGAGATTCTGTCTGCTGAGTTTATTTATAGTTGGCTGTTTTCTTGTAGTTGTTGTTATTGTTGCTGATGATGTATCTAATTAATTTTTCTTCAATTTTAATTGAATTACAATCGTTACAATTCTATGGAGTTTTTATTTAATAAAATTTTAAGGCACACATATATAAATAAAGCAAGGGTATTAAGACACGCACACATAGATATTGGTAAAAAGAGAAGAAGAAAAATAGACAAATAGATATATCAAAGAAATGGAAAGACATTTCACACAAAAATTATGAATATGCAATGAAAAGTGGAAAAAGCTTAGATCTGCAAATATTTACAGTTTTTTATGATGTTGAATGGGGTTTCAATTATAAAACGTCATGTTCATGCATGCAAGATGATAAGATAAAGATTTTAAATAACATTAACATTCTCTATATGCCTTCAACATAAACATGCACAATTCAGAAAAATGTATTTAACAAGTAAAAACATAGTAATGTTCGGCCATGCTCAACTAGGTTAGGTTCTTCGTTTACAGGCAATCAGGTTATATGCTGGACTAAGAACTTGACAAAACATAAAACATCAGATATCGTCAAATTTCTTTAAAGATTTTTTGCCTCCATGAATCCGGTATGCCAAATTACAGTCATATTTAAGAAAAGGACCGGACATTTATATTGGGGATGTGCCTAATATGGGTTTATCTTAATTTTTTTATTTTTGGCCAATATGCTTATCATCCTCCAAAAACTCTGTCCCGTCATCAGAAAAAAATTCGGCGAATCTAGATGAGACGTTGGACGAATATTTCCAAAATCTACGTATTTGTCTAGAGATAAGCCTATATATAGTCTATAGTTGATTTAAATCCAGTGATTTTTTGGCCGATATTCTATTTGCTTTTCTTAATATGGGATTTTTATTTCTCGGAAAGAATATACTGAATTTCCGGAACGCAAGAATGTGCCGAGGTCAAATTTTGTTCATATCCCATTTATGATAGTTGCATTCAATCTTTGCACAGAAAATCGTTCTATGATAACGGGAACGATTGGGGGCTCAAAGGCTTGGATGTTTATACCTTTCGCTTTATGGTTATAAGGCGAAGGGTATAAAAATCCAAGCTCATAGGACTGCTGGTTTCTTCGAAAAATATTCTTAAAAAAAATCCACGTTTATCGATTTGGTTTTTTTATCTGATCTACAGGTCCCCTGGATCGTTATTGGGATACGTAGTTGAACGTAAAATTCGACTTTTAGATATTTAGATTTTTCCATTTGACTAAAAAGTCGACTTTCCGATTTTGTCAAACCTAATGGGTCTTCCAGCATTTTTTTTTTTTTTTTTTTTTTGGATCTCCCGAAAATATGTTTTACAAGACTATGCTAGATCTACTGGTTCTTCAGAGAATAAATCGATGTTAATCAAAATTAACACACGCAATTCGGTCTTAATAAGAAACCCTAGATATTATAGTCTCAATTTTATACGTTGTGCAAAATTTCGTGTCAATCGGACAAACATTAGGAGTTTGGTGCAACCTAAAATCTGAACCGATTTCAACGAAACTTGCCAGAGATTAATTTATATTAACTTCAGTACATAGTACAAAATTGTGTGCCAATCGGACACACTTTAGGTCTATAGTGCACAATTTACATAAAATCGGACGAAAATATATATGGGATTTTTCCCAATTTCAATAAGGTTTTTGCTTGGGCCAAATAAATGAGCTGTGCCAAATTTCATCGAGTTGGCATTTTTTTTACAATTTAACATGTACAGACAGACGGACGAACATGCATAAATCGACTCAGAAAGTGATTATCCTTTCCTTTTGCCTGTTGCAAACATATACACAAAGACACAATACCCTGCAGGGTCTTTTTTAAAAATCGATGAAATTTTCTTTAAAAATCGACACTGTCCGATATGCTGGTCCAGAAAATGTAAATTAAACCAGTAAGGAAAGTAGTAAAGTCGGACGGGGCCGACTATATGATCCCTTCACCACTTTGGATATATTCAACAGATAAATCCTAACAGACGTCGCATTTTTAAAGGACCAGCAAAACGAAATTGGATCCCTAAACATTTCATTCTGTAACCTATACTAATTTTTTCATTTGGTCAGATATAGAAGCTATATCTAAATCTGAACCGATTTCAACGATTTCAGGAAATTTAACACACATCATTCTAGACTTAAATATATATTATTTTCAAAATTTCAGGTCATTCCTATTCTTTTCAAATTTTCAGGTCATTCCTACTTCTATATATCCTTCAGAATATATTCTCTAAAAATAAATGTTCCAAAATATCTTACATAAACTCAGGCTTCCAGTCTGTTCTTCAGAATATCTTCTTCAAAAATCCTCGCTTGAAAATGAAAATCAGCTTTTCTTTGTCTCACGGTTTCTTAGAAAAAATATGTGCTTCTTGTTCTGCTGATACTTCAGAATGTGTGTATGTCTTAAAAACTCACGCTTAAAAGGTTATTCAGAAAATATCCTTTGCAAATTCAAGCTAATTTATCTGCTGGCCTTGCTGAAATTTTTCTTTAAAAATCCACGTCAATCGATCTGCTGGTTCTTCAGAAAATACTATTTAAAAGAAATAATCATTTAAAAGACAGAATTTTTAAGAGGCCATTAGTCCTTTCAAAATTGATTTTTATGCACAGGAGTATGGAGGGTATATAAATTTCGTCATTCCATTTATAACTCATCGAAATATTATTTTCTGACCCTATAAAGTATATATATATATATATATATTCTGAATCAGGGTCAAATTCTAAGACGAACTACCCGCTATCATCTGAAGGAATTGAGATATAGTGATAAAATTTTTCATAGGTTTTTTTTGACTGCAGACAGGTCAAGTTCCCTTAAATAACGCAAAATTGGAGGTGCTATTGTATGGGGGCTACCAAAGCGTGGATCGATATAGCTACGCTTTGGTAGCCCCAATATATAATAGTACCTTCAAGATTACGGCATTTCAGCGATTTTGGACACTATTTTAAACTTTATAAATTATGGTACCCCCATAATCTCCGAATTCGATCAAATTTGTCAAAAAATTTGATCGAATTACTTATAGTTTGGTGCTGAGCTTTGATTGGGTACAAAATCGTCCCACCAAAAATTATCAACATTGGTTCAATTTTCGAGGTATCTCCCATACAACGGTACTCCCCAAATTTTCAGTATCTTATGGTTATTGAACGCGGGCGTCAACTGAATTCGTTTAAAATAAAATGTCTCTGATTGGTATCGCGTTTTGAGGTTGTCCCTATATATAACGTTGTCAGTTTTTACCCTAAACAATATTGAATTCGGAGGGTATCAAGACACAAAACTTAAAGGTTAGATTCGAAAATGAGCTATATCGGTCCACATTTAGAAATCGACTCCGACTTAGGAAAAATCCTCAACACCACGTGATTTTGGAAACTTCATTGCAAGTAACTGTCAGTATACCTATGGTGGAGTGTAATAAAGTCAAAAATTAACAATATTGGTACACTTTTTATGACAGCCCGCATATAACAGAATCTTCCAGGTATGGTACTTTGGTATTTTGAATCTAGTTTGGTGTAGTTTTTACGATATCCTCAATATAACGGCAACCAGGTTTATTTCGATATTTTGGGGATTATGAACCCTTTTTTACCTGAATTGGGTATAATTTATTTCTCATTGGATGAGAAATCTTCCTACAAAAAATTTACCAATCCATTTCATCTTGGAGGATATAAAAAAGGCCCGACAGAACTTAACGTTTAGTAAGGACTATTAGCCCATTACACGTACACCTTTAAGCATGGGGTTTTTGAAATATCAAGAGATTGTAGACATTTTATCTTGGATTTTTAGCGATATTTTTGAGGGAATATTAAATCTTAAATTTTCAAAAAATATTTTGGAGGGGAAAAAATAGTGTTATTAAGCGTGGATTTTTAAGTTAATTCTTTTCCTGGGACTATTAGATCGTATAAGGCATATTTTCAAGGGATTAATATTCCTTGAATAGCGGACATCTCATGGGAATATTTGAGGGGCTATTCGACATTTAATTGTGGATTTTAACGGATATAAATTAATTGTTAGAAATTGAAGAGCAGATTTTAAGGAATTATTCTTTGAGAATTTTTAAAAAATATTTTTCTCAGTGGCTATGAGGCCTTTAGTCTATGATTTTTGGGATGTGGGACTATTAATTCTGAATGAAGGCATATAAATGTTTGTTTATCTATAAAATGTTTCTGTCTGCCCTATATGGGAGATCTTTTATTAAGATGTCGCATTTTATTGGAAATATTTATATGAAATGATTTCTATTAATGATGAAATATGTTCAATGAATTTGGGATATGATTTGAAATGACTTTACAAACAACTACAACAAACTACAAAGATAAACGATACATCCACATTTGAAATGCCAATCTCTCTCAATAATTAGGAAATTTTGAAATCTTACACTTCGAAATTATTATATATTTTTTCTTAATTTTCAAAATTGTTTTAAAATATTTCTACAAACTTTTTCTAAACTACTGAGAAAAAACGAAAACAACAAACTAACGAATATGCAATGTGAACTTTTTCAAGCAACATGTGGTGGCAATGTTATTGATTTTATGATTGTTGTTGTTATTGCTATTGTTGCAGCTCTGTTGCAGATTGTTCAGACAGATGTTGCTGTGGTGACACTTTTGTGGCATTTTGGATGCGTACCTATCATTGGAGGCTGTTCGCTTTGTTATGTCCGTTGTCGAAAGGCTAATGGGGCGATTATAGGCACGACGACGTGCCAACAGTGGCACCAATTCCACACCATTACCATTGGTGGTGATGGTGGCGGTGGCATCACCACCATGACATTGTCTATTTTTGGGATGAGCGCTATTATCAGTTGTGGTATCAGCAGTGGCAGCAGCCTTGTTATGACGCATCATTCGTGGACAGATTTTCGGTTTCGTTTCATTTGCTGCTGTTATTGTCGATTTTGCAGGTGCTGCAGTTTTTTGTAGCGGTTTAATGGGACTACTTGTCATGGCCGGGCACTTACATGTACACATGTCACAACAGCGGGTGGCTTTTCGTGTGGCACGGGATTTACGGAATGTGGGCTTTTCGGCTGGGGTAACGGGATTATCCTGATCCAATTCTTTGAGCATTTCTTTGTTGGTCCAACCCTGAAATAAAAAGTTGCATTTGATAATTTTTCCATGATATTCTATGTTATAAAAAATCTATATAGGAATGAAACCTCACAGTTATCTACCATTAAGGGAGGGGCCACTAATTATTGTTCCCGTTCGAAAATCCCTACTTGCCTCCCAACTTACCAGGGACTTCATAAAAGTCGTTCCCACCGATTTGGGACTACGCCATGGTTTGCCACCCGGACCCGGTTTACCCCAGGGATCTTTGCTAGCCTAATATAAAATACCAATCATAGAAAGAAGAAAAAGGAGGAGAAGAACAAGAAAAACAACAACAAATAATATCACAAGCGTACACACATGGGCATGCAGTAAACCATTCTCACCGGTTTCTCGATTTTCTCCAACGTTTTCTTCTGCTTCAAACCATGCGGACCCACCGAAGCTCCGCATCTCTGTTTTTCTTCTACAATTGGACATTTATCACTTTCGGTGACTACAATTTTCTCCAACATTGGTTTACCCTTACCGGCCGCTGTCGGCTTATAACGGACTTCAATGTCTACATGACCTTTATTACGAAACGACATTGAGGGGTGATCTTTAAGGGTGATTTGTAAACTTTCGGCATTCTTACCACCAGCAGGTGTTGGGCCACCACCTCCACTGGTAGCTGTTGTGGGTATATCACACAAGGTTACCATACTGGTGGCCCCACCTATTACCGGCCGATCGGGTACATGCTGAACTGTATGGGTGTGAGTGGTCAGACGTGGCACCGAATGATGATGATAGTGATGCGGATGATAGGCTGCACCGGGATCGAAGCATCGTTTGTGTTTGAGAAAGTAATCGCTAAAGCGACAGGGAGGCAGTGATGCCAAACGATGGGTTGTACTCTGAAATAAATAATTATGAAAATCAGGTTCGGTTTTACTACAAATTTTAAGAGACAATGAGGCCTCAAAGTGCGGTTTTTAAGTAATATTTTTGAAGGGATTAAGAGGCCTTTAGGCATGGATTTTAAAAGAATATTTTTGGAGGCATTAAGAGCCCTTTAGGCGTGGATTTTTAAAGAATATTTTTCAAGGGATTTAGAGCCCTTTAGGCGTGGATTTTTAAAGAATATTTTTCAAGGGATTAAGAGCCCTTTAGGCGTGGATTTTTAAAGAATATTTTTCAAGGGATTAAGAGCCCTTTAGGCGTGGATTTTTAAAGAATATTTTTCAAGAGATTAAGAGCCCTATAGGCGTGGCTTTTTAAAGAATATTTTTCAAGGGATTAAGAGCCCTTTAGGCGTGGATTTTTAAAGAATATTTTTCAAGGGATTAAGAGCCCTTTAGGCGTGGCTTTTTAAAGAATATTTTTCAAGGGATTAAGAGCCCTTTAGGCGTGGATTTTTAAAGAATATTTTTCAAGGGATTAAGAGCCCTTTAGGCGTGGATTTTTAAAGAATATTTTCAGGGATTAAGAGCCCTTTAGGCGTGGATTTTTAAAGAATATTTTTCAGGGGATTAAGAGCCCTTTAGGCGTGGATTTTTAAAGAATATTTTTCAAGGGATTAAGAGCCCTTTAGGCGTGGATTTTTAAAGAATATTTTTCAAGGGATTAAGAGCCCTTTAGGCGTGGATTTTTAAAGAATATTTTTCAAGGGATTAAGAGCCCTTTAGGCGTGGATTTTTAAAGAATATTTTTCAAGGGATTAAGAGCCCTTTAGGCGTGGATTTTTAAAGAATATTTTTCAAGGGATTAAGAGCCCTTTAGGCGTGGATTTTTAAAGAATATTTTTCAAGGGATTAAGAGCCCTTTAGGCGTGGAGCCCTTTAGGCGTGGATTTTTAAAGAATATTTTTCAAGGGATTAAGAGCCCTTTAGGCGTGGATTTTTAAAGAATATTTTTCAAGGGATTCAAAGAGCCCTTTAGGCGTGGATTTTTAAAGAATAAGGGAGCCCTTTAGGCGTGGATTTTTAAAGTGGATTTTTAATATTTTTCAAGGGATTAAGAGCCCTTTAGGCGTGGATTTTTAAAGAATATTTTTCAAGGGATTAAGAGCCCTTTAGGCGTGGATTTTTAAAGAATATTTTTCAAGGGATTAAGAGCCCTTTAGGCGTGGATTTTTAAAGAATATTTTTCAAGGGATTAAGAGCCCTTTAGGCGTGG